CAGGCTAGATTTTCTTTCAGTTCTTCATCTGTGACTTTGGTAAAATATTCATAACTGTATTGTCTGCTTTAGATAAGGTGAATAAAGGCTTGCTTGCATTCTGCTTTACTGTGGCTTGAATTAGGGACGGTTTTAAAGTAACCGGATGACAATGAGGTCTTTTTCCACTCAAGGGATTGACAAGTCTACAGACTGAGACCTGCAGAAACCGTAATGAGTGCCCGTTTCTCCAGCACATTGTCCACCATAGCCAACGTTAACCGAAGGAGTGATTTCTGGAGTTGCACAGGACAGGTTTAGTGCTGACACTATAGCGCTTAAGGGAGGCAGAAGCATCTTTCTGGCACGTTTGGTGATGCTGAAGACTGTCTGGCATTGAGTGTGACTGGGATATGTGCCTGAACCACAAGGTCGTAGAGGACTGTCACAACGAAATACAATATTTTTGACGATAGGGACTTGAAATACCAAGATCTTCAAAGGAGGTCTTAAGGAGACAGTATCATCTTGAAAACAATTTGTTGTTGCTGTTGTTAGTGTAACTGCTGACAGTACTGTAAGTACTATAATTCAGTAGTTTGGGGAAGTAACCTGTTGACTTCATTTCCCTAGTCTGGTTTGGGACATGGTTCATTTCGCTGTTCAGTTTGTTCTACTGTTTTATTATTAATTGTTGCACTTACCTGTTTCCTGTGACATCACTTTTTTGTGGGTTATTTGTCTGTATTCTTAGGCTCTGCAAGAGAAAATTTAATAGCAAACAGTACTAGTGCTGCCGTTGCTTCTGTGATTGAGACCCAGAAGGTGTCATCTTTTACTGTGACAAAGATTAAACAGAATCTCCTCAGAGAAGGACACAGGATGTACTTTTTATGCAGTTACCTATCATCCCTTCAAGAAGCAGATGAGCAACAGAAACTTGGGAAGTGTTTCTGGCAATTTTTTTTCTCCCACTGAGCCTTGCAATGGGCCAGTATGAGTAAGATGGAAGGGATTAGTTGATGTTTCATTCCTTAAATCCCTGCCCTAGGGTTGGTAAGAGGAGGGATTTTCACTTCCCATGACTCATGTATTGAGCCTGGGGAAGAATTTAGAAGTCAGTAGACCTAACTCACTTTTGGCAGCTATTTCAAAAAAAAGTTCTCCAGGAATGAACTTGTTGAAATACCGGTGACTTCACATGTACCAAATTGTTTGTACTTATGAACATTGAAATGTGAAAAGTGAAAGGATTTCCTTAAAAAAAAAAAAAAAAAAAAACCCCCCCAAACCTCAGGGAATGCTATATTAGGAAATGCTTTTATTAGGAATGCACATTGTTTGAAAATAGTTAATGGAAAAAAATAATCATATTGGTGAGTAATCTGCCTTGAAGCTTCCTGGATGCGTTTGACATCTTAACTAAAAAGAGAAGACCTTATTTGTACAGAATGCCTATAGCAAATCTTGAGTTTTAACCACCAGATAGTTCTTTCAAGCTGCAGCTTGATTTATTTGTATCCCTTTGGACAGATACTGTATTCCTCCTAAATTATTGTGACTGGATTACTGCATGGGAAGTTGCAGAATAGAGACTGCTTGCTCAAGACCAATGACTGAAGCAAAAGAAACTGCTGCTGTGCGCATTGCTTTGGTCTGAGCAGCCTCCTCCTTGATCCGATTGACTCACTAAATTGTCAGTGTATTCCCACAGAGGTCT